GGCGGGAATGGAGAAGGTTTCTCGTAGTGTTCTGTAAGATTAGTTAACACTTTGTCGAGTGTACGATTCCCTCTTGTTGGAAAATGGACGACTTGCGTGAGGCGGAACTGCTTAATAACTGGTGAAACATTTGCCCTGTTCCAGTCGCCAGCGAGAATTATACCTGCGCCAGGGATATCACTCTCTATCCTAGAGAGAGAATCCATCATGTAATCAAGGAGGGGCTCATCTTTGGCAGGTGGTGGAGGATGGTATACTGTACCAATGATAAGGCAGCTATAACCCCGAGGCAATCGGTTGGGCGTGATCTTGGCCCACAAAACCTCAGGGCCCTCGGGGTCAGGGAACTCATAGTCCCGTAGAATTGAGAATTTGATGGAATCTTCTACATATAGAGCCACACCCCCATGTAGCCTGTGGGTCCTATCTTTGCGTATAATGTTGTAGCCACTAATGTCAACTACGCTGTCATCAATAGAATCTTTCAGCCATGTCTCCGTTATACAACAAAGATCAAACTTGTGGGTGTTCAAAAAAATACGAAGTTCGTCTATTTTTGGCGCCAAACTCATTACATTAGACACAGCTATTGACGGTACGAATTGCAAGGTGTTTTTGCTGGCGTCGTTGTTTCTCTTAGGCTTGATAATAGCCAGATTGTTGAAATTGACGGCTCTTTGTTCTGTGTAACGGCTGGAGGAGACACGCGTAGTTACTCTCACGGGAATTGTTGAAAGTCTCGGTAAAGTGTGATTATTGAACCGTAAAAATTCATTCAAGGTGGAAGAGTTATAGCAATTAACAGTTCTTTGTCTTGTGTAACTACTGGAGATGACGCGCGTAGTTGTTCTCACGGGAATTACTGAAAGCCCCGGTAAAGTGTGATTGTTCGACTGTGAATAATTATTCAAGGTGGAAAAATCATTCGTTTCTGAAGAATATTTGCTTCGGCCTGTATTTAATTGTGTTTTAGTAAGTCTTCCAGACCGTTTCCCTCGGTACTTAAAAATTCCATACGATCGAATGTTCTTAAATAAAACTGACCGTCTCTCCTGAAGGCTGTAATTTTTCCGGAGCGACACCAGTTCACGTCGAGAGTACTGTTGGGTCGTTGTTTGGCGAATTGGAGAACCAAGTTGCTGAATTAAATCTCGAGTGGCTCTCTGCCGGCTACCAATGGCGATTATAGATTGAGCAGGACCGGGGTTGGTCGAAATATCAACGTATACCGTGATGTCCAATGGAGGGTCGTGGCCAGGGATGACTAAGGAGACAAACCCGTGTTTAGTGTGCTTCTGCATTGGAACTCTTGATCGATGAAAACCATGTTTGACGATACAAGTGCATTTCTTCTTGAGTTGGACACCACTGTACAGGGGTTCCCACCTTGATTTAAAAGTAGCCTCGAAGAATAATAAATGGTTTAGAAATACAGCGCTTAAACAGGATAAAATAGTGATAGAAACTAGAGCTACTCTAAACGTGGCCGCCATGATTGGCGCCGAGTGCTACACGCTATTAAGTAAACGTCAATTTCAGAAAACATCAATTTAAAGGAATAACTACATATAAATAGAGTCACATGATAGAGGAATTTTATTTCCGCAAAAAATGCTTTATAGGTGCCTTTGATTGAAAATTCACTCCAACCCACAAGCCATCAGGATGAGTGAATTGTTTTGAAAGTTAAACATGTTAATTATGATTGTCACACATGAATTATTTTGATCGCCTAGTCTTTGGAACGAACTCATGGTTCGTTATCAAAATTTACTGCCTCTTTTACTTGAATAGTGTTTGATTTGCGTTGAATACCCCATGCAGCAAATGCCAAAGGTCTAAACCTTGGCAAAGTTCTCGTATGGCCATCATCAGAATTTCTTTGATGCTCTTCCGGCGATTGTGTACCTCTCCTCATCCGTTGAGCACCTCTCAAAGCAAGCGCTATGACCCTAAACCTTTGCAGGCCTTCCTTATTATCAGCAACGGCCTCACCTTCTACTGATGTCTCTTCGTGAAATTTAACGACGCGAGTGACGTTTCCACCACCTCTAAAGACAGATGCCGCTGATCTTAACTTTGAGAGGCCTTTCTTATTTTCCTCGCTTTTCGTTTCCTCTTCCTGTAACCGGTCGACCCGCGTGCTTCGCTGTGCACCCCACAAAGTCCCCACTACTGTTTGGAGCAGTGCCAATCCCCGGTTTTTCTCTTGAGGATTTCCGGCTGGACAATCGGCAGGTGCAACTTTATTCTTTATGGCCAGTGCTGCGCGCATGCGTTCAAGCTTCTGAAGCTGCTGTGGCGTCTTTCGCTCCGTGCTGTGATCTATAGCATGTTCACAGAAGTCAGCCCCCAGTTCCTCTTCATATTCAGAAAATCGGAAATGGATAAACTTTCCAATGATGAAAAACTGAAAAAATGCGACTACAGCCGCCCACAGTCCGATTGTTAAACACGCCAGGAGCTGAACTCCCAAAATTTTAAAATGCCCCCCTTTGAAAACACCGTACGTCTCTGAGAAATCTTCCAAGCGGTCTTGTTCGACGAACAACCCGACAGCAAACATGCTCCAAATAGCAGCGCCAGCATGGGTTGGGATAGCACCGACAGGATCGTCAATATTAAACTTCTCCAACAAAAGCCACCCCATCACTGAGATCGCACTACCAATGAAACCAATAAAAATGCTCTCCCCAGGCCTGGCAACGGCGCATATTGCCGTGATACTCACCAGACTCCCTAGTATTCCAGACATAAAAGTTGGTACATCAACACGCTTCAAGTAAAAGACACTAAACAAATGAGCAAAAATGCCCCCACCAATTGAGGCATTCAACGTGCAGACAGCTGACCGTGAAGCAAGCTTCCATTTACCGCCACTTACCCCAAATGTGCTCCCGCAGTTAAAACCAAGCCAGCCCCACCAAAGCATGAACATACCCAAGAGAACATTCGTCGGAGAAGCCATTTTTAGTGTCAAGCCATTGTCGTTATACTTGTTTCGTCTTGGCCTCAGCATGATGGTCCCAACTAAGCCAGCAACCCCACCTACTAGGTGTACAGGACTCGCCCCACCCACATCTACCACTCCAAGCTCCTTCAGCCAGCCGTGCTCTCCCCAGACCCAGTAGGCAGGAAAACAGAACGCCAGCGTGTTTGTGAAAGAGAAAACCATATAGGCTTGCAAATTTGCCCGCTCTGCGATGGCACCTGACACAATTGTTGTTGAAGTTGTTGCGAAAGATGCCTGAAAAAAATACAAAGCGAACACGCTTCCCATTCTTGACTGGTTTGCGTCAGCAAAAAAGTTTGCTGATCCTGAAAATGCGCTTTGTTTGCCGTGTTCATCACCTGATTCTCCCCGACTGAAAGCGAAGCCAAATATCCAGTAGGAGAGACCACCGAAAATCACATCCAGAGCATTCTTTACCATAATGTTGGTCTCATTTTTTTTAGATACCATACCTGGTGATAATGAAGTTTAACACATATCATTTTAGATATCGTTAGCACACTATTGTAAGTTAGTAGACGTAAATCTGAGGAAACAAATCCAATAAAATCCGTGACGTGAGCGGGAGTCGCTCTCTCTAAACACCCGAGCTAAGAGTGAAGCAATTATTGCTTGTGTAGACTGAGTTTAACTGAGAAGATTTGTCATCAAAACATAATCGATGCCATGAAATTTCTGTAGCTATTCCTCAAATGGAGTAAATGGAATGAACATTTCTTTAGGAAAAGCACAATTGTTTTACTCTATCTTAAGTCAGAATTGTATTCAACTGACCTGACTCAACGAGTCCGAATCCAGAGATCATGGTAAAGATAATGAAAGCACTGGTCAAAATCCACACGGCATCGCCATGGCCAACTTGAACTGCCCCGGTAGGAGAAACAGAAGTCATATTCGTGAATGATACGTTAAGGCTCATCTTGCCGTTTGTTTGCTGTCAGATTCTGTCGATGTCACCTGGGTCGAGTAATTTTCGTAGAGTGACAGAGAAAGTTAAAATGCGTAACCAAATACCTTGCTTTATACTATGCTTTTAAAGCCACTTTGAGACTTGAAATTGGTTTGATGAATATTTAATGCAATCTCACGAGTGAGTTTGGTTACTCATTTGTTCTCAGCGTGAGTTTGACTTTCACAAGGAAAGTTTTCACATCTGCAGGACTCCAGGTAATTTTCATCACACAACGTATGTTAAGACTCAAAATAAAAGGTTATTTTTGTTATTGGTATTGACCCTAAGCTGTTGCCAAAACATGGAGGAACAAGTTGTATGGAATTTTTCGATGAAAAACTGAAGAAAAATAGGTGTACTGAAACGGTTCGTATTCTATCAGTTCGTATGTTTACATTGGAAAAGTAAACTTCACTCATTCAAAAACTACTTTGCGTGTCATGTCCCATAGGAAAGCTGTGTTTGATCAGTTTTATTAGAAACGGTGCAAAATTACCTGGGTTTAATTGTGTTAGTCACTAGTTTTCAGCATGATGAAAACCAAAACAAAACTAAAACACAACAAGGACAACAAATTGCTTTTCTGCGGGGTATGAAATGAAGCTTCACTAGTTTAGCGGCGAACACAGCAAGTCAAGCTTATTAAAAAATATTGTACGTTTCTCCATTGCCGTGCAAGCTTTTCCACGAGATTTTTTCCCATACTTATTACTATAGATTAAGGCTGTTTTGAAAGTGAAATTATAGAAGTAAACGTTGTTCCCCCCATACTTACGTGAGAATAGTTAAGGTTATTCATGTTCAACTAATTCTGTTGCAAACAACAATAATTTTTTTTGTCCTTACTAAAAGCAAGCACCTCAAGTTTACAAAGCAGATATTTCGAAGTATATTGTTAATTATTTTTTGTCACCATAATTCAAACTACGTAGTAATTTTTTCCAGTTTAGAATTTTTGATTTCATTCTATATCTTAGTGCTCTTAAAAATTGCTTATTTCAAGCAGGGCAGTTGATTAACCTTATTTGTACGGCAGCGAATGGCGGGCTAACTTCGCTACAATAAAAGGGATTTATCGATCAGCAACAACTTGTTAATTAGAGAACATTCGTAAAGGCTCTATCGTCATATTAGTCCATACGAGGTATTTGATGAAAAGAAAAGAAAAGAAAAGAAAAGAAATATTGAATAATAAATGATTTTTTGTGAGTCATCTATCTAGACACCGTTATTTCAAACAAGCTCTCGGTTTGGTGGCTCACCATACATTTCATTGAACTGCTGAATCACTCCTTGAGATGAATTTTCACAACATTGAAGCGTTTTTTGAATAAGTTAAGTAGTTTGGACACAAACAAACTAATTTCCATACAACAAGAACAACGCATCGAACAACAAGAAAACGCCTTCAATGATCAGAGTGTCAACCAGTGTTAACCTGAGACACTAAAAGCCTTAAAAAGAAAACTCATCCTAGTAAATGTAACAAATAAATTCGTTTACTGCCTTGGCTGTAGCGGGACAATCGCAATTTCGATGGCGAGCACGACAGTCTCTCCTTTAGAGGGACTTACAGGAAGACCTATCGGGTATGAAGATGCAACTTGGATTCTCACCAGCGCCTTTATCATCTTCACCATGCAGTCAGGTTTTGGACTCATTGAATCGGGTAAGTAGTGTATTTATCAGGCACAATGAATTACTGATACTGTCTTTACAAACCTGGACAAATTTATTATGTAGCGCTAAAAAATACAAGAAATAGACAAAAGTCATTAAGAATTCAAAATATTTCTCTGTTAATAAAAGTTTAATTTTTACAAGGCGCGCATGGTATCTAGACAACTATTTTCCAGTCCACCTCCTTTTCCCGGATCAGAAAATTATCGAACGTGGTTAATTCAAAACTCTCACGCCAAAACATTTTCAACTTGTCGCTTTAGTATGAAGACCGCACGAGCTCGTGCTGAAGAGTTTTTCTTCCAAAGCATTCGGTAGGGGGTGGGGGGTAGGGGAAGGGGATTCATGTTTTTGTTTTGTCACCATGGCAGTCGTGAATGTTCCATGCTTATATTTTTTGTTGCCTAAAACCTATAACAAATAAATTTAAGGTATATTTTCGTCAACAACGAACAAATTCATAAGTAGAAATTGTTCATGCCTTTTTCAGGAATGGTTACGATAAAAAACGAAACAAACATAATGGTCAAAAACGCCATTGACATCATCTTTAGTGGTCTTTCTTTCTGGTTATTTGGTTTCGGATTAAGCTTTGGAGTGGACGAAGGTACGAACGCCTTCACAGGGGTCGGATATTTCCTTACAGAAGTGCCTATCAACGAAGGAGAAGTCTACGCCATGTACTTCTTTCAAATGGCGCTGGCTTCCACAGCGACCACAATTGTCTCCGGATCTATGGCTGAACGAACGAATCTCAAAGCCTACATGCTGTATTCCTTCGTGAGTACGCTGACAACGTGTTTTCCAACTCACTGGATCTGGGGCAAGAAAGGACTTCTTAAGGAACTTGGCGTCATCGACATCGCCGGCTGCTCTGGAGTGCACCTAGTCGGGGGAGCCGCGGGGCTCGCTGCTGCTGTCATGTTAGGGCCTAGGTTAGGTCGTTTTGATAACAACAAGAAAAGGCCCCAGCCATGCTCCATGACTAATGTGCTGTTAGGAACGTTCATGTTGTGGTGGGGCTGGCTGGGCTTTAACTGCGGCAGCACCTTTGGTATAACTGGTGGTAAGGAGTGAATTGACTGACCTGGGCTTGATTTTTTGTTAGCTAAATCTTCATTTTGCTAAGTTTGGTTTGGCTTCATTTGTAGAAAAATGGAAGTTAGCCGCTCGTGCAGCAGTCGTCACACTAAATGGTTCAATCGGTGGAGGTATCGTCGCCATTGCTTACAGCTACCTCCGAGACGCCGAAACATTAGATGTCCCAACTTTTGTAACTGGACTCCGTGGCGGTCTGGTATCAGTTACAGGTATTTGCGCTCTTGCCCGACCATGGGAAGGCATTGTGATCGGACTGTTTGGTGGAATGTTTGCGTGCTTACTGTCTGACGCCATGATTAAACTGAAGATTGATGATCCGGTCAACTGCGTTGCTACACATGCTGGAGCAGCAGTCTGGGGCATGATTGCTGTGGCTCTTTTTGCTGAACAAGAGAAAGACGAAGGATTCTCTGAGGAAAAGGGCCTGTTTAAGGTGAGTATTAAACAATTGGCCTTGATGGAAAAGATTGCAGCGACAGTAATAGCTGCAACTAGAGAGGACAGGCGTGGGTTGTAGGTTGGCATCATTGTGCTGTCGTAGACTTTTTCTTCATTTATTGTATGTAACCCACGAATCGATTTCATAAGTAACAATTAAAAAGTCAACTAAATTTCCTGAAGTACAATCACATCAAATAGAGTGCTCGTCTCGTCCACTGAATTTCCCCGGGTCTTTTTATGACTTGTGTGTTCTTTAGTTTCACTTGTTGTCGCTCTCAACCCTCGCCATAATCGCTATCAAGGATCACCTTTGTTAACACGGAGTGCAACTGACAGTAACGGTTGTAACGAAAGTTCAAACCTCCCTTGTGATTAAACAGAGAGGAACAACTGTCATGGATTTAACGTGTATTCTACCTTCGCCTTCTCCTGTCTCAGTTGTCATCAATTTATCTGTTATTACGAAAGGAAATAGATGCTAACTAAAGACACAAATGTTTCGTTGCAGGGAGGCAGCTGGCGACTGCTTGGTGTTCAGTTGCTCGCATGTCTCGTAACAGCAGCTTGGGCAGTCGTGACAACAGTTATTCAACTTTTTCTGATCGAGAAGACAATTGGAATACGACTTACGCGGGAAGAAGAGTTACAGGGATGCGACTTTGTAGAGCATGGAATCGGGGAAGAAACTGGGGACAAGGAACAGGGCGAGGAAGCCCTACAGATGGAGAGCGCTAGCGCACCGGACCATCTTATTAGCTCCACTGATAAACGAAAAGACAACGAGGGCTTACGAAATTCGAACGATCTGCGATCGATGTGCAGTATGATGTCGGATGTGGAGGAACTTATTGAGCAGGAATTATGTTATCCTATGATTAAACAAAAGGATACCGCGGACAAGTGTGTTCAAGTTATCTCCGAACATGGTGTGTTGATAGAACTGTAAGAGATTCTTGGGTAAGACAAAGATGTAAATACACATATTCTTTAACATCTCATTCGCACCAGAGTTTTGGCTTTAACCATGAGAACACAAGCTCTTTCATATCATAGTTACTTGCAGTAATCCATTTACATATGGCACGATCCTCGCAGTAGATAGCGCTATTTAAGCAATAGCGAAAATCAGACCTGAAAAAAATCAGGCCTGTACGGGATTCGAACCACTGACCTCTGCGATACTAGTGCAGCGCTCTACCAATTGAGCTAACAAGCCAACTGGGAGCAGGCCGTTAAGTTGATTCGTAATAAACCCGTGAAAGTGATAAATGAGATACAATGAAATATATGAAGTTCATATATTTTGTACTGCGGTATTAGATACATATGGCACGATCCTCGCAGTAGATAGCACTATTTAAGCAATAGCGAAAATCAGACCTGAACTGACCTGACCTGACCTTTTCGTTTATCAGTGGAGCTAATAAGATAGTCCGGTGAGCTAGCGCTCTCCATCTGTAGTCAGACCAGGTCTGATTTTCGCTATTGCTTAAATAGCGCTATCTACTGCGAGGATCGTGCCATATGTATCTTATACCGCAGTACAAAATATATGAACTTCATATATTTCATTGTATCTCAGTAATCCATTTGCTTGTTAGTCTAGGAGCGACTGGCATTTGGTTAGTAGCGTCTTGTCGCAATTTTGAAAAATGTTCATTGTTACAGAAAAGCATACGACAAGATAAAGTCACCTTTTAAGGGCGATTCAAAATTTAAAATGTTTAGTACTATCAATTAATCGATATTTGAACCATTGAACTACAGGGATGCCTTGCTATAACAGGCAAATCTTTGTTGTAACATCAAATAATGTAGACCAAAATTAAAGAATATCGAGCTTTTTACATCTTCTTCGACCACTCTCTAACCTCTATTCGGATATGTAAGACACTTACTCCATTCTTTAAAAAAAGATACCTTTTCGAGTGGATTTCGAATGAAATTTATCGCTATTTTCAGATCTTGAAAATAAAACGTTTTCAAAACATTTACTTTGTAAGTTTTCTGATGTCATTCAAACTAAGCTTTAATTCCCGACTGTCATCCGCTGGTGTGAGGGTTATGACCACGGGCACTTTCGCCTTTGGCTGGGAACACTCATTAGGGAGTTCTCCACCCTCATTTATTTCGAAGAAGCTGGCCTTTCTCGCTGATAGGAGAGCTTTATCCCTCCTCTTTCTAAAAACATTTCCGGCACTGTTGGAATCAGAGGTATTCTCAGATTCATGGGATGAACTATGTTGTTTTCTGTGCGTCGTTTTATTATGTTCAAGACTTCTCGCTGGCGATAGTTCGGATATAGATTCAGTGTCAGATTCTTCACAGTCTTGTAGTTCAGTGTCATCATTTGCAGGTTCACGACCACTGTTATGGGCTGAAGCATTGTTTTTGGGATTTAAATCCGTTTCTTCAAAATGTCCACCATTTCCAATAGGGAATACTCTGTTCTGTGACCCCGTCACGGGGCGTATGCGGTTCTCGGGTCTGGTGTGCGATTGGTCAATTCCATGTTCACAGGCATCCGCTCCGAGAATTTCTTCTTCAAGTGGAAATCTCAGCCCCACAGTTTTTTCAATGATGTAAAGCTGCATGAAAACTGTTATAATGGTCCATACGGTTATGGACACACAAGCCAAGAGTTGCACGCCAAGTATCTTTACATGGCCGCCTTTGAAAGCACCATAAGTTGAGGAGAAAGTGTTCTCGAGTGTGTCTTTTTCAACAAAGAGTCCAACAGCTAACATTCCCCAAATCGAACCTCCTGCATGGGTAGGAACTGCACCTACGGGGTCATCAATTTTGAGTTTGTTTAGAAGTTGCCAGCCAAGGATAGAAATCGCTGAACCAATAAAACCTATAGCTAAACTCTCCCCAGGTCTCACAACACCACAAATGGCAGTGATGCTGACGAGGCTGCCAAGGACTCCAACCATGAAGAAAGGAATGTCCAACCTAGAAAGGAAACAGAAGATGTTATTCTATCATTTCTACCCTTACATTTCAGTCCTTAAACAGCCGTTGGAAAACTAAACTTGACAATACTCGTAGCTAAAGATGATAGATTTTTGCATTATCATATTTATTCTTGTCCTTGCTCGAGAAGACTTGTAAACATGACTGCTAACAGACTACTTCGCCAAGATAGAAAATTTCACTCAGAAAACATCAAGTGTGGGTGTGTGTTTGGGAGTCGAACCCTTTTAAATTCTTAAAACCACGAAAATTATCAATTAAAAAATATACATATCCAGTATTAATGAGCAAGACTGTAGGTTAAGTTGGTCTTTTTCGTCCCTTGGATCATTCGTTTACAAGCCTCTCACTTCGCTGTCTAAGTGACTGAACGAAACAAGGAATCTAGGGGCTTTGCAGAACTTACAAAAGCTTACCCTTAAACATGCAGATCACTGTTCAAGAAATTGACCGTGTGGTATGGGATTCCTGTTATCTCACCTGTTACATTTAAAGTAGCTATAAAAAGTAGCGAAAACACCGCCACCGCATGAAGCATTTATGGTACAGACAGCTGACCTAGAAGCAAGCTTCCATCTTCCACCGCTGACCCCAAATGTGCTCCCACAGTTAAAACCGAGCCAGCCCCACCAGAGCATGAACATTCCTGTCATCAGATGAAAAGAGAAAGAATAAAGTGGTTTCTTCTGTAATTAGTTAAAGAAATGTTTAATAATGGTACAAATGTGGTTGTAAAAATCTGGATACATAAATTAAACGTAGATGTGCACGATCCTTCGCAGTAAAGCACTATTTGAGCAATAGTGAAAATCAGACCTGAAAAAAATTTCAGGCCTGTACGGGACTCGAACCACTGACCTCTGCGATACTAGTGCAGCGCTCTACCAATTGAGCTAACAAGCCAACTGGGAGCAGGCCATCAAATTAATTCGANTACTGCGAAGGATCGTTCTCATATACGTCTCATAACCGCAGTTCACACATATGTTTCATATGTTTGTTGTTGTTTGATTTATCATCTACGGGTTTATATCGAATTAATTTGATGGCCTGCTCCCAGTTGGCTTGTTAGCTCAATTGGTAGAGCGCTGCACTAGTATCGCAGAGGTCAGTGGTTCGAGTCCCGTACAGGCCTGAAATTTTTTTCAGGTCTGATTTTCACTATTGCTCAAATAGTGCTTTACTGCGAAGGATCGTGCACATATACGTTTCATAACCGCAGTTCATACATATGTTTCATATGTTTGTTGTTGTTTGACATAAATTAAAGATAACTAGTATTTGAACTTTGACTCAAAGCATGGTTGCCGGTAGATCTGACTAAATTGACTGAAGGAATGAATGATTGGGCCACTGGCCAAATCATTGACTGGTTCACCAACAAACCAACTTGTCACCTGAGGCATTCAATTTAATTCCCAAGGGGAAAATCTAAACACTTGTACATACCAAGCAATACATTTGTTGGACTTCCCATTTTATGTGTCAAGGGTGCGTTTACGCCAGAGCAGCTTTTAAATTTTCCAGCTCGAGGCTTGAGCATTATAGTTGCAACCAGACCTGCTACTCCTCCAACGAGATGCACAGGACTGGCCCCACCCATGTCGACAACGCCCATCCTTCGTAGCCAGCCCGTGTCCCCCCATACCCAGTGGGCAGGGAAGCAATATGTTAAGGTATTTGTAAAGGCAAATATTATGTACGCCTTTAAGTTCATCCTCTCTGCAACTGCTCCTGAAACGATAGTTGTGGCGGTTGTGGCAAAAGAGGCTTGGAAACAATATAGTGCGAAGACGTCTCCCATACGCGTCTCCTCTGCGTCTGTGAAAAAGCTTCCATAGCCAGAGAATGCATTTGCGCCTTCGTCCTTTCCAAAAGTGAAGGCAAAACCGAACATCCAGAACCCCAGGCCACCAAAAATAACATCAACAGCGTTTTTCACCATAATATTTGCTTCGTTTTTTCTGGAGACCATACCTAGATATAACCAATGAGGAATTTATCGACAGTTTTCAACTTAAAAACTGAGTTGAAAAACTGTAGTACTTAAAGATACTACGAGTGAAATTTTTCTATATTTTTTTTGTTAATTATTCCCATGTTACAGCCAGAAAAGTATTATGAAGTTTAGAAGAACCATCGTACGCCAAACTCGTGTTTTTCATGACTCGTTAAAACAGAGCTCAGCTATTATTACTATATCATTTTGGGCTCTTACGCAAACAACGTCAAAAATAGATGTCACAGGTTATAAAAAAGCTTTCGTTTGGTGTTTTTAAAGGTTAGATTTCTCAACCAAAGGCTTACGTGCGAAAAATTGTTCTTGAGAACAGTGATCTGTTTGTTAGCTCATCCTTCAAGAGTTCAGGAAAGAAAGGTGGAGACAAGCTCGTTTTAACTGTAATTTTAAGGTGGCGCTGCATACCCACAGGACAAAATACCCAAAGGCAGAAAAAAGGGGCTTATAGCTAAATTTGGTGTTGCTACCAACAGTTTAAAAAACACAGAATCACGTAATCCAAACCTTTATTATAATCAAGATAACGAGTGTAAATGAAACGCCACTACAAAATTGAGGAAGAAGCTCTTGCTATTTTTATCTCGATCCAGTATTTTTTTTCACTTGCAAAGGTGAGCCTATTGTGCATCATCATTATATTCTCTACGTCACTAACGCCTAGCTGCCAGATACATATTTCGCGCGACAGCCGACTTCAATCATTTTGCTGGCTTGTGATTGGACTATTCAGCAGACTGTTTATGACTGATGAAAATACGTCTTTGATGTAAACAGAACTTAGGTAATATGAATTGTCTTAGTTTTTAATTACTCGCAACAGAATAAATGCAATATATGACAATAGAACGCATTAGTAGCCAACTAACAGGTGGGAATATAACAATTAACCACAGGAAGAAATACGAAACAAATATTATCATGCATGACATCTTTTACGCAAGGGTGAATTTGCAGTTTTGGAAGGTATCATATTCTATGAAAAACAGGGACCTAAAAGTGACAGCGTGGGGTAAACATTTGGTTACGCTTACACGCGAGGTAGAAAATACTTTCAGCGAATCTCACGAGTCCGCGTTTGGAAACGTATTACGAAAATGAGAAAACGAGGAGCAAATAATCGAAATCTTCTTTTTGACAGGTTCAATAATTAATTCGTCTGCTTGTAAATAAGAAGTCAAGGGAACAATTACTCATCAAATTGCGAGCTGGTGTGTTTCCTAAAAAATCCGTCCATTAATGGTGTTTATGCCTTCCCCCATGCAGTCTTTGACTGAGTCATTTTGTTTTGCTGATTTCGTGGAGTTAAACCTTCAATATCTTTGGAGTTCGGTTAATGCTGCTAAGAAATTTCAAGTTTCGTTTACATAGGTGAGGAAGATATGATAAGTTCCGTCCAAAAAAAACCCGCGGTAACAAAGTAAACTTTGCTTGTGGACTGAACTGAACAATCATTTAGCACAACGCAAATTAGAATCTCCAAAACTCGGTAAAACATGAAGTAAATTAAAACGAAATATTTCTGAATTTAATTTTTCGGCGTTTCAAGCATCAAAAATCAACGAAACGTCCAATAATAACCCTACCAGATTCTACTAGCCCAAATCCCGAAATCATCGTGAAAATGATGAAAGCGCTGGTTAAAATCCAAACGGCATCACCCGGACCATCCATTGTATCTCTTCCTCGAGGAATTGTAGTTGGTAATTCAATGCTGGTGAACGGCACAGAGGTTCCATCGAAAAGCGATGAGTTCGTCACTGAGTTGGCCATTGTTGTTGATGCTGATCACTTCCTAAGTTAAAGAATGATTGTGCGGCTCCCTTACATGTCTGAAAAAATAATATGGTGGGCTAGTGTAACTTAAATAGAAACCAGCGTGTCACGAGATTCATCATGAAACTTGTGACTTTCATACTTCTGTTCGCTCAGATTTTTGCTACTTTCCTCTCAAAAGTTTAGCTGAGAATTGGTTAAAAAGCACCTTAAAAGATATAACAAAAACCGTTTAAAAATGAAGTTTTCAGGCAGATGGCTAGCAAAAGCAATCACAAATTAAATATATACGGCGTTGGTTTGGCCTGTCGGTAAACGGCTGTTTTTTCAAACACGTAGTTCAGATTCTGGTTCGTGTTCCGCTATCGTTTTGTTTCTTGGAAATTAAGAACATTTTCAGTCTTGCTTACCACTTTGTGACACTTGACACTTTTTCATGTGTCAGACACAGCAAACACTATATATGAAATCCTCTGCTCAATTCATTAGTATGCAAAGTTCGTCCTTGAAGAAAGCCTTGAATAAGTAACTCACTACAACGGATTTCATGCGTCAAAATGAGTAATTTGAAAGAAGCGAACTATTCCTAAAAAGATTCAAACCAATATTGTCGATCTTTTCCTTTGCGCTCTGTATCGCAAATTGGCACTAGTTTTGGTTAATAATTCAAAACAAGTTTAAATATAAACAACTTTTTGTCAAATGATTATTTTCGCTATTCTCACCTGTTCACTTTTATCATGCAAAGAAGAATTCTGATAGGGTGTGTAAAACCTCAATTGTTTCAGCTTTTTCTTATTTTACCTAATCTCAAATAAATGTAAAATGTCGGCGAACAGGCAAGTCAAAGAAAACTAGAAAAAAGCCGAAATGGTTATGTATCTATAATTTTTTTTACTCATTTAAATGTAAATTTCATCCTTTTCTAAAAAGACAAATTTACAATTAACAATTCATGACGGAACACCTTGGTGATAACAGATTACTAGTGTATACATTTCCTTAATTAAACATTAAATCGGAACTACTGCATAACAGAAATTTTATCTTTCAAAGACAAACTTTATATGATTCATGGAAGCTAAGTATGTATTCCCCCCAAGAAAAAGGGTAAATAAAAGCTAAACTCGTCTGCAAAATGTCGAGTTATCGGTTTCGTTTTTGGTGCATCCGGTCTTTTCTCAAGTGAAAAGAAAGGATCACATAAACTGCGTAAGTTATAGAAGTTGATAAGGCTTATTTAGCGGGGAGAAAATGTTGTTATAGAACGGCTGGAGCGATTGATCAAAATATAACATGCGAACGGTCGAGGCAATATCTGAAAAGATCCGATATGTCAATCTGTGAATATACTCAACGCGTATCCGGCGGGAGATAATTTCATGGAAGCGCCTTGAAGATATTGGTCAGAATAATTCATTAACAAAGACGATCACTTGAGAAGCAACAACTATTATTCACTTTTGTCAACTGAGTTCTCAATTTTTGTTTTGATAGTCGTGTGAAACCTACTGCGAGTAAACACCACGTTGGGCGTCACAAAGATCAAAACAAATTTGTTGCCGAGCCTTGTTGCATTTTTTTCCATTTTTCATTTTCTTAAGTTTTTTCATTTTAAACAAAAATCAGCGAATAAGTAGAAAAACGAAACAGGTTGAAAAAAAAAAGTCGACTTCAGGGGACTTCTCCGCTCTATTGTGCAGCTTTCCTTTCTTATGCAACGTGTCTGTTAAAAGATGATAGCTTTCCTATTCCATTTATTTCGAGAGTAATCTTTCGAAAACAGCAGGGAGGTTTTCATTGGTTAATTGGCAGTTTTGATCCAGCTTTATAGGAAGACATTTCAAGTGACTTGGCGTTCAATGTCTCTCAAGTAAAACGATGGCCGGCAAATTGAAGAAACATTCATTACGAAAAGACACGAATGTTAATTTTCAAGGGAAATCACGTTATATATATTTTTTCGTTTGTTTGTTTATCTTGGAGCTATTGTGTATTTACATCAGTAGAAATTATTTATAAAAATTGCAAATTAGATGCGGTAACTTCCACTGTTTCAGTTTGCATAAATTACGAGTCTGCCGGGTGAAACAAAAAGTAAAATTAGAGATGAACTTTACTCGCAACTCGTCGAATACATACATAAATGGAAGCGAATCTGCAGTCAGCTCTGTTGCGTTGAATTCCGACGATGCAACATGGATTTTGACAAGTGCCTTCATAATATTTACAATGCAGTCTGGATTCGGACTCGTAGAGTCAGGTTTGTTTATCCAAAGTTTACAATTTGCTGATTAATTTTGGGAAAAAAAGCTGCCAAATAAACGTACCAATGCACTGACTCACTCAAAGATATAAAAACGTGTTAAATTTTGCTTTACCGAGACATCTGATACACCAGAGGTAGAAAGGTGATAAGTTGAAGTTTGATCATGTACAATTTTTTTAAAAATATCAATTAACTGATCTGTAACCTTTATTTGGGACTCAACTCTTTGCGAAATTGTATCCTGAGTTTTCCCGCAGGTTTTTACTATACGTCAACACTTTTATTTCGGAATGGATTTTTACAGGTTGAGAAAGATTCGACTCCTAACTGAACCGAGAGTACTCAACAAAACTAACCTTATAAACTGGCTGTTTTGAAGCATAACTGGATACATTTCAAACAACCATAATGAAGGGATTCCCTTAACATTCAGCCGCACCAAAACAGGTTTTATGCTACAAAGAGTCTACAAACTACAAAGGTCGCTTTGTATTGTGACATAAATAATGTTATTTACGTTCGCATCCGAGAATAATTGGGAGCGATGTTTGGGAAATCATTATTCGATATTCGTGTAACGTATTTAAATGGGTAATTGACCTATAAAACAATTTCTAAGCGCTCCTAAAAGACAGCGATGATTTCCTAATTTTTTCCAGGTCTGGTCTCTCAGAAGAATGAGGTCAATATCATGGTTAAAAATGCCGTTGACGTCATATATGGAGGACTGTCCTATTGGTTGTACGGATTTGCTTTCAGCTTTGGCATCGCTGAAGGAACAAATGCCTTTTGCGGCATTGGTAAAGAAATGAAGACAGCTTGTAAACCTTTTTCATACAATTTGACTGAAATTGTGTATCGCCAGGAATTGATAAAGAATCGCTTTTCTTCTAAAATGTACGTGCAGCAACTGAGTTACAAAGTAGTGACGCGGTTTCATTCACAAAGGCGCAACAAAGACGCCGAGAAAAGTTGAGCCATTCAACAAGCCAACCAGGTCTTCAAACCCTCGCAATATATTCATCAGAGTTTGTCGACATTTGAAAAAAGATCCACTGTGCTTCTCAGTGTCATGTGATGCACTCTGTTGACTCGATTGTTTTCCTTATTTCTGGGTATAAAATGGAAATACGTCTACCAAACCCTTTTTCGTTGTTTATTTTTCCACCAGGTTATTTTGCGATGGACGTAGAAGCCGAACAAGGAGATGTGTTCGCCCTGTATTTCTTCCAGATGTCGTTCGCCACCACTGCCACAACCATCGTGTCGGGGGCAATGGCGGAAAGAACTCATCTAAATGCATACACAATTTACTCTTTCACCAACACGATATCGTACGTCTTTCCTGCACACTGGCTTTGGGGTGAAAAAGGCTTTCTTAAGGAGCTTGGCGCTATTGACGTTGCAGGTAAACTAATGGAATTGAGCGACAACTATCAAAAAGAAAATTTATAAGTCTTCAGACACTTGAAATGAAAAATGTTGCAGTTTCAAGGATCGTTAACTGAAACCGGATGACTCAGGAAAACATGACTGACAAGAATTTAAAGCTTCTACATTTTTTATAGAATGACTTGCGAGAAGTATTAATGAACAGGAGAGAATGGTTCACTTTTTTCAGGGTGTTCTGGTGTTCACTTAGTTGGAGGAGTCGCTGGTCTGGTGGCGTCGATCATGCTGGGTCCAAGACTTGGACGATATGACAGTTCCGTCAGACAAGGGAAGCCTGGGTCACTCACCAATGTTCTTCTAGGAACGTTTATGTTGTGGTGGGGCTGGCTTGGGTTTAATTGTGGCAGCACTTTCGGAATGAGTGGAGGCATGTAGATATTTGAGTTATTTTCATGTGATAAAAGATAAAAGGAAATAAGTAACAAGAATGAGAAGAAAATCGTTTTTACTCATTCATAATTTACTTGAAAACTTCCTGGTGGCAGCACCACAAAGTTTTAAAAGTCGTGATCTTTTTAAAAACTGGGTCTTAATTTTTTACACAGGAAAATGGCTCCTTGCCTCAAGGTCAGCAGTAGTAACGTTGAACGGGTCAATTGGAGGAGGTATCTTAGGGATAGCTTACAGCTACTACTTCCGTAAGGGGAAGCTGGATGTGGCAGTATTCATAACTGGCATTCTAGGAGGTCTTGTGGGTATCACAGCCATCTGTGCTGTGTGTCGTCCTTGGGAGGCCTTCCTCATTGGATTCATTGGAGGAGTGGTGGCATGCGGCAGTTGTGACATTATTGACAGGTTGCTGTAAAAACTGTTCTTACTGCACACATTCTTATGAGCTCTATTGACATGCCTTATTTAGTGGATAGGATTGAAGAAAAACTTGTTTTTTCCTCTTTATTTTTTCGGCTGGTCTGATTCGGTTGTTTAACACTAAATATAGGTTTTAGCACTAATGTCTGCCGTTTTCTAGGAGGAAGAGAGGCAACAATTGGACGCCACGTACACCCTATAGGGTTAGGAGGTTTCTATATGCATTATAGTAAATTTCACTTGATTAAAGTAGAGGAATCGTGGCTTTATCCTAAGATTTCTTTGCTTAAAGTATTTGCGAACACAAATTTCTCTGCTGCTTTTCTTTCTGAACCATTTAAAAGGAAAGAAGTTGACGAATAGGCATGAAATTAATCCTCCCCTAGGTTGAAAGTCGATGATCCTGTGGGTTGCATAGGAACTCATGCTGTGGCTGGTATTTGGGGGATGATTGCAGTTGCTTTGTTTGTCGAGGAGGACGAGCTTGAGGGATTTTCAGATGTTCGTGGGCTCTTAAAAGGTGGCAGCGCCAAACTGCTTGGTGTTCAAATCCTTGCATGCGTCGTTATTGGCGCTTGGTCCGCTTTGACTACATGGTTACAGTTGTTTCTCATCAACAAGATTCTTCCAATTAGACTCACTCGTGAGCAGGAGATCATAGGTAAGATAACTTTCCAGGTTTAGTGCAACTGGAATAACACCTTGCATACCCTGCGTGCCGCCCAAATGTACCTTGATAGCCATGACTGCTCTCATTCGTGCTGAACACCGTAAGTGATTTTGATCCTCACGTCTTTGCCATACTTGCTTGGGTCTCTTTTTCTCTGCAAATTTTAGGTTTTTCATATTAAGTTCTTTCTTTTCTAAGAATGGTATCATGCTATACGGCAGCAGTGAATGCTGTAAAGGAACATGAATACTTTGAGAGAAAAATCATTTCTGTGTACAAAATTGATTTGGGGGAGAAGCAATGCGGTCTCATCTTATCCATTGCTGCATTTTGGATTTCTTAAGCTCTTGCTATTCAAACACATTTGATAAATTTTCTGCCATTCATATGGCATGTCTAAAAAGTGCGTGGTCAGTTCAGCGAACGACATGTCAAGTAAAACTGAATTACAGTAAGACACTCTTGATATACCCTTAGGTACTGACAAACTAGAACACGGGATTGACTGTAATGATTCTGAGGACGACATCAATGAACTGGAGCACGATACACTGGAGGGAGAAGAGGACGGAGTCGACAGTTTTGGAGAATACATCAAAAATGAAGCTCCAGCCCTTAACCATGGTGCCAAAATGGATCAAATACTCTCCATTCATAATCTTCCATGATATGATCTCCCTTCCAGTTCAGGAAGTCATTTATCGAAGCGAAAGATGAAAAATGAAGTCGGAGTTCAGGTGGATCTGCAAGACCATTAACTTTTCCCGGTATCAAGTCTCCTCATAAGAGCTTATATTGGTATCTCTGAATCAAATTCAAGTTTCATTTTTTTGGCAAACGTAGAAAATGTGCTATCGACTATTTATAACTAACTCAATGAACTCAGGAATAAGTCAGGTTTAGTAGGCCTAAGACTCAGCTAATGCGGACTAACTAAGAGTGTCTACACCTAATAAAGTGTAAAGTACTAAAGTAGTGCGAAAGATTCACGTTTACATTTATTCTATTTCGATTGATAGGCGATGGTAATCATTGCGAGAAACTAGTGAGAAATTTGTTAATAGGTTAGCAGACGACTGTTTACAACTTTACCATGACGCTTACTTTGGAAGAAAACGCTTTTTTATCGCAGCAATTGTTCATGTTCGATAATCAAGTTTAATTAGTTCCTGTTCAGAAGATTAATTTACGTTCCGAAAAAAACTAGTTTCTTTCAATCGTTCACTAAAATTTTAGCGGTTTTGAATAACAGCTTAGCCCTGACACCTCAGCTTTCGGAGGTTTTTTTCCTTCATTTTCCTTAACTTGAAAAACTTATGAACTTTAATTAAGGTTAAGTATGTACCCTGGTGATTATGGAAAAGGTATGGGGAAGAAAAATCGTACTTTCTTTCCCAAAGAACTGTTTTCACTTTTGAAAATATGAGGCTGTGTAGAAAAGTTCAATCATAATCTTTCTTGTAATCTTGAGAATCTGTAAAACTGTTCCTCGTACTTATATCGCACAACCATTTTCAGACCTGCCAGATGTTAAACAGAACAGGAATTTAAAGCTGCAATTATCTCTGAAAAATGCTGAATGACGGATGATGGATATAGCTGTGATAGGCACGCCCATGATTATTATTTTAAAAAGACGTCTTCCGCCTGAATTGTGACGCGTGTAGCTGGGCTGGTGTTGTAAAGTTGTATCCTTACTGTGTTGACCAGAATAAACTCGTGTACGGAATTGATTGTGGCCACAATTCAGGTGCTAGTGTAAGTTTAAACCTCCTGATTCCCGTCAACTTTCACCTCGATTTGTATCATGAGTGAAAGTATCCAAAGGTCCACACATATACTTATGAACTTTCTTACTGTCACAGTTCATATCTCTACTAACAATTAAAATTTAAAAGCGGAATGGAGACTAAAAATATGCCTCGACTGGAGGATGATATCAGTTAATGCTTGAAGTGTTGTCAAGAGTATTTCAGTGCGTTCCTCTCGACACGTTCAAATGCCGTGGGAATACAATCGCTGACCAGGTTGTTCAATGCAATAAAATGTCGTCGGAGGCTTTTCTCGTTTTCTCACGAGATCGAAGTTGTTGAAATAATAATTAGTTTCGTTCCATACAGGGCATTGAGGCGTCAGGTGACATTGCAAATGGGCCATAAGCAGAGTAATTGGCTGTTGAAAACTGAAAGAGTTGAATGGTTGGCATTATAAAAATATGACATGTCAAAGCGAAAAAAAGTTCTTATTCATCGCACAAAATGGATAAAAAAGACTCTAAAACTAGATTACGATTGTGGTGGTACCTATATAAATACTAATAAAACGGTCTTTTTTTCTGATGTGACTTTTTCTTTTTAGGTTAAACGGAGCTAACATAGAATCTGCAAAAGGTCTCCTCAGAAAGAAAGGGTTTCACAGATCTCATAGTTTCGTTTTTGTTTTTCTTTCGGAGTCTCGATCCATTTTGTCCTGCCACTCAGCTGTCTTGAAGTCTTGATGTTTTAAAGAAGCTGTCATGCAGTCTCGGACAATATCCTACGTATTTTTAGTAAGCCCACTTATCTCAAATTTACGAAAAAACTGCCGATCCAAAAGATTATGATATCCACAAGATAACCAAATAATAGTTACAACTGAGTAATAAACAACGAGACGTAAAGTCGTGAGAAAACATTGTATGTGGGGTAAGAGCCTAGCTATGAGTTGTTAAAAAGTATTTTTTTAAATCTTATGAGTCACGGAGGCCCGACCACCCATTTTTAAAACATTTTAAGATAAGAATATTACGACTCCGTAAGAAAAAGGTAGAGTCATAAAAGATAGACTTTTCGTCTAGTATATTTGACTAATAGACGATTCGCCGCTTTTCATTGTTGACTTGAGTTAAATTTATCAGATACATATCAAATCATGCACTACACACTTCCAGGTTTTCATCTGAGTATGTCAAATTGAAATTGCAGCCGCTTTTCCCTAATATGTTGATGACAATAAACATGTTTGACACCATTTTTAAGAAGAAGAAAACAAGTAGGTTTTTAAGTAGAAGAAAACAAAAGGGAAAGCATTTCCGAGAAAAAACCTTTTTTATTCCGTAAAATAGGCAACTGTTTCTTGGTCCGCTAGAGCTCTGCTTCATAACCATAGGCTAAATTAATTTAATTTTGGCAAACCAAACACTTGATTCAATTTCGTGGTCGAGTCTCTCATTTTGTCTTTTCATTTCCTCAGCAAACTAAGAACGATCCGCTATCTTAAGTAATATCAAATAAATCATTCTCATCTCTCTTGTCCCGATGTAACTTCATTATTTATTAAATCTGGAAAGTTTTTCTTAGCGGGACGGTGATCTCTAAAACCGGTGTTCGTATTAAAATCCAGATTCAGTTATTTTCAGATACTCGCTACTGTGCAGATACGTATAATTATTTAGTATTCTTCGTCACGGAATCGAGTTCTCGACAAGGAAGGCTGATTCAAAGTTTCCACTTTTAGGAGTTGCCGTATGCAAAGGCGAAGCTGAACCGAACATCTGTTAATAAATGAGCATATAACAGAAAGAAAGAAAATATCAAGTGTGATTGCACGCTTAGTTGACTCTGGTAAAAGTCATCTCGATAGAGTTTTCAATGTGGGTTATTAAGGCAATGGAAATAGGTACTGTGATTAAAAACACTCTTTAAAACTGCAGCAAGGATGACAAACAAACCAATCGACGCAGAACGAAAACCTTTATTCACGCAGTATTGCCTTCGTTGGTAACATGAACTCTTTTGCGTCAAACAAAAGCAACAACTCTGAGATTTCTACAACACCGCTAACAGCAGAAACTTATTTGATCTCTTCGATATACGTGGCGATTGCTTTAACTGCAGTGTTTGGTAACATTCTAGTCATACTCGCGGTTTGCACCAACACGCGTCTCCAAACGAAAAGTAACTATCTCCTCGTAGCTTTAGCTGTGCCCGACTTATTTCAAGGTGCAGTTTCACTTCCCTTAAGAACAGTAGAAGTTCTGAGCGTAAATTGCGATCTAAAATCTTTTTGCCTTGCGGCGATACCGGTCTCTACGTTGTTTGGTGCTACTTCAAATCTTCACATCCTTCTTGTGGCAATTGAAAGGTTTGTAGCCATTTATTTTCCGTACTTCTACTACAGTTGGGTGACGACAAAAAGTGTTTTGATGGGTGTTTGGTTGATCTGGCTCTCTGTGGTGACTGTCTCACTCTTGCCTGTCTTAGGTTGGGGTGGAAAAGAGCCTGAAACAGCGGTAACGTTCTGTCGATTCCCGTCGTTTCTCACTCAGGAGTATATCACATGTCTTTACCTATTCGTCCACGTCATTCCCATAATCGTTGTCACCTTCCTCAACGTGTTCATCTTGAGAGAAAGTCTTCATCATTTATGGCGGATTGAAGCACAAGTCGTATCCTGCGGTCTTAACCTCCCGGAAAGGGATGGTAATTCCCAATTTTCTCCTCAGCCGGTGGAGGCAGTGCGACAGAAGAGCGTAGAAGCCATGAAACTGAGAAAGGCGACTTTTATTGTTGCTGCAGTGGTGGGATCCTTCATCTTACTAGTGGTCCCAATTGTAACTATCGACATCGTAGAGATGCTGACGGCTACCGTGGTACCAGAAGCTGTTGTTAAAATTGCTGTGCTGATGATTTATGCCAATCATTGTGTTAACGTTTTCGTTTACGCTGGTTTAAACTCCGATTATAGAAAGGCTTTTAAAAAAATTCTTCAAAAAATGTGTGTGAATGTTTTCCGTTCACGGGGATCAGGAGGGCCTGTCTGAAAAAGGATTTAAACAAAAACAAAAAGAAGCGGGCTCGTTGTTTATGAAGTCTACAAAATACATTTGCCCCGAGAAATTCTGATTTTTAATGATAGGTTTAACATTCTAGTAAGCAATTTGTTCACCTCTGACGAAGGTCTCGTGCTCGAAACGTCAGCTTTAGAGACTCTTTACGGTGGCCAATTTACATTGTCAACTCAGTTTATAATACAAATTAACTTTGTATACTTCCCACCGACCCAGCACCACAGTTTCGTTGGAAACATGCCCTTTTATTCATAGTTTCATAGTTTCTAGATAGATGATACGGTCTCGGTCAACAGTGCGTGGCGTAATAAAATGTTAACTCTTCTTAATTTGTATGCATGTACTTTAATTTAATTTAATAATAACTTCTAGAGCGCTATTTTCATACAATAATCAACAGCGCTTAACAACTTAGGATACGACAGTAAAATCAAATTTATAGAACTAATTACATGTACATTAATATTAACAATGTATGTTAAAAATAAGAATAGTTTGGAATATCCATAATAAGGATCTTAACTAGGAATAAGGATCTTAATAAGGAACTTAATTAGTAATACTAATAAAAGTAATTGTCAGACAGGGTACTTTGAGAAAGCTGCACGAAATGAATAAGTTTTCAGCTTACATTTAAAAATGGAAAATGATTGAATATCACCTAATTCAGCTGGCAGAGCATTCCATAAGTACGGGGCAGCAGCAGAAAATGATCTCTCCCCCAACGTGGCAAGCATTTTCCCCTTTAGGAGGGTCAAGTAATAAACTTTGATTTGATCTAAGATTATATACAGACCTAGGCTTGATGTTAATTAGTTCAATGATATACCTAGACGCCCATCCATGAATAGCTTTAAATGTTAAAATTATGATCTTAAAATGAACACGATGTTGTACTGGTAACCAGTGAAGTTGACAAAGCGCAGGAGAAATAAGCGAATACTTACTTAAACTCAGTACAAGTCTAGCCGCAGCATTCTGTACACGTTGCAATTTGGCTATTTGCGACTTAGGAAGGCCATACAAAAGTCCATTACAATAGTCTAAACGACTAGTGATAAAAGCATGAATAAGCGTCAATAACGAATCGCGTGATAAATAATTCTTAATCCTCGTAATAGTATGTAGGTGATAAAACGCGGAATTACAAATTTTATTAACGTGCGTTGACATAGACAACTTATTATCAAACCATGCACCGAGATTTCTAACACAGGAACTAGGATAAATATCACAATCACCTACGGAAATGTTCCATTCATCGTTGATCTTACCTAATTGTTGTCTAGTTCCTATTAAGATCAACTCAGTTTTATCGTCATTAATCATTAGCCTATCCCTAATCATCTAATTTCTTAAATCACAAATCACAAATCTGTAGACCAAAGTTTAATCAAGAAGATGAGAGTGTGCCTCGTGATAAGAGAGACCAGGAAGCGTTGAAGGAAGCGCATTTGATAAATGTCGTGAAAACATTACAATTAAATTAAAATTTAAACTTTAGCATATGTGCAGACACTCCCTCAAAGCTTTTTGCCATTTTCTCGCGGATGAAGGTGAAAACGTTTAAACGAAACCGTAAACTTAGTAGGCGAATGTAATTAAAGGTAGATCATATGGTAACACTGAATGTCATGCCTGCAGTAATAAAGATTCAAGAGATGGAGAGGGCCTCTTCTGTTGCAATTTGTACTATCACGATAGCGAAAGTTAGTATTCCTGAGGCCAGAGTTGACTATTATAACTAATAGCAAGAACAGTGTAGAACTCCAGATTCGTGTGATAACTACAAAACTTATGCCTTTAGGACGTAATGAAGTTATCATTAGCATAATTATTATTATCATATTTCATTTTCGACATTATCAAAACCACCATCACTATCATTATCA